TGACACGAATTTAAGTTCTCGCTAGCAAGAGTTGATGTTGTTTAATTGAAGATTGATGTGTCAGAAGTTTCACTGGCGCTCGCCCTCGAGATGTTTACGTCCCTGATGGCCTGCAATTTATGTCTTCTTATATATTGGAAACACGCGGCCAGGCCGCCTGATTCTAAATCTTAGATTCTGCTCGATACAGGCAATTTTGCCGATCACACGTCATCCTGGTCCTTGCAACCCCACACCAGTCAGGCTACTGAATGGCCGTCTCGTCTGTCGCGAACACACCAACGCCTTGCGCCCTACTCGCTGCCCACACCTCACATCAACACTACACAAACTTACCACTCGGCATGAGTATCCGGTCGCTCATACATGACATCCCTGTCCTGGATAAAATCGAGCTGAAAATGACCTATCGAGCATGTTGAAAGCAGAGGAGACATGGCTCCTCCATGACACCGTCTGGGTTATATGGTGCAACGCAGAGCGTCACTCATCCAGACTGGCCTGACGAAAAGTGAGCGCAAAAACAACCAGTTTTCATACGAGTCCCTAAACACACCGGATCATAGTACTGCCGGAGACGCGTGCGGTGCCGTGGCAGGCGCTTCGGGCCAAATTAGTTCGTGTTCATTACCGTACTGTCTCTTCGCAGGGCCATGTCGTAGTGGAAACGACTGAGCTTGACATGCCTTGGCATTGGACTTGGAAAATTTAAAACTGTTCTCTTCGCTGTCAGGCGTCAGCGTAATGATAGGGACGCTTGCCTCTATGAAATCAGATGTACCGTGTAAGCTCAAAGTATTAGATTACTCTCAACGCAAGAATGTTCCCTGAAGCAAAGTTGCGTCTTGTTTGACAATGGTGGGTGATCGATACTTCATGGGCGATTCACCAAGACACACAATCCCTGTGTCTGTGTGCACATCTGTGCTGTAGATTACACTAGTCTGTCTGTACCAGGTCGCATCATATACTACTGACCAGCTGTGTGAATGCACATGTGCCTATCAAGCGAGCTGGATTGAGTGAAGTTACTTGAGCAACCAGGTTATTACAGGCATAAAGACGTTTCCCTATGTGAGTGCGCATATGGCTTTTGAGATCTCGCGTCAAGATAAGTACAGGCGTAGGGATGCTCCCCTGTGGGAATGCACACAGGTTGTGTAAGATTGCCAGAGGTTGCAAAAGTGCTGCTACACCCAGGGTGTATGCAAGCTAAGGACGCAACAGTGTGGGTCTGTATGCGAGTTTTCAGATTGCTGGAATGAGTAAAAGCACTTGTGCAGCCAGGGTGCTTACAGGCCTAGGGACGCTCCCGTGTGTGAGTGCGCACTTGATTTCTGAGATTGCCAGAGGACGAAAATGCGCTGTTACAACCAGCGTGTGTGCAGACGTACGGGCGTTCCCCTGTATGGATCCGCATGTGAACTCGAAGGTGGCTGGACTGAGTGAAGGTACTTGTGCAGCCAGGGTACGTGCAGGCATACGGACGTTCCCCTGTGTGAATGCGTACATGTAGTGCAAGATGGCTAGAGGACATAAAAGTGCTGCCACAACCAGGGTGCGTACAGGCGTAGGGACGCTCACCTGTGTGAGTGAGTGCATGAGTCTTGAGACTGCCATAGGTTGTAAAGGCGCTGTTACAACCAGCGTGTGTGCAGGCATACGGACGTTCCCCTGTGTGGGTCCGTATGTGAC